ACGCTGTGTAGACCACGGCGTCTGGAGGCAGAATCCAGGCCCCCGCTGTTTCCGGTCACGTGCGTCACGTGCACCACCAGCACTCAAACGCGTCATACACCAGCCGGGCGCGTGGGGGCGGAGCCTCGTGGTAGCGACGTCACATCTGGTACGTCAGAGTCACGCTTCCGCTCACAGTCGAGAGGAATGCGAACGAGGCAGCAGCAGAAGCATTTGGAGAGCGAATCGACGACGAGGTGAGCGTCTCTGTGACATCCTGAAGGATTCTGCCATCTTCAACGCCACCACCACCACCGCCGCCAAGGACCCAATCATGGAAGAGTGGGATACAGATGAAGATTGGGATACAGAGGAGGAGTGGGATACGGATGAAGTGTGTGATACAGAGGAAGAATGGCAGACGGCCGACGAGTGGGCTATGGAGGAAGAGTCGAGTATGGATGAAGGGGGGAGATGGCCAAAGTGTGGCAGATGGCAAAAGAGGGGCAGGATGGGCAAGTGCAGCAGGTGGAGATGGAGGTGGTGGAGGAGACAGAGGACATCGAGGTTATGGAGGCAGAGCTGGTGGAGGAGCTGGAGGCGGTGGAGCCGACACTGCAGAAGAATGGGAAGAGCAAGTGGAGGATGTCGCTCCGTGCGTTCCTCCACCGCGTGCTCCTCTGTGGCACGGCGGCTCCAGAAGATTAGGGTGGGGGGGGGAGGTGGGGGACCACGGCTGGACTGGCAGGAGGCTGGACATCAGTTGGCTGGGCAGGACTGGAGGAACGACCACGAGACCTGCTCACATTTAACATTGCCCCCCACACACCCCACACTTCCCACACACCACCCACCCCCCACACACACACAAATATACACCCTACAAAAATCCCGTGTTTCGCCTTACCAGACTGTTGGGCAAGTGCTGTTAGCAAGCAGCTATGAAGGCCGTCACGGCACTGGAGGGGTGGGTGGCCAGTACCATGGGCGGTGTGTGGGGTGTGTGGGGGGCGATGGTAAATGTGAGCAGGTCCTCGTGGTCGTGGTTGTTCCTCCAGTCCTGCCCAGCCAACTGATGTCCAGCCTCCTGCCAGTCCAGCCGTGGTCCCCCACCTCCCCCCCCCCACCCTAATCTTCTGGAGCCGCCGTGCCACAGAGGAGCACGCGGTGGAGGAATGCACGGAGCGACTTCCTCCACTTGCTCTTCCCCTTCTTCTGCAGTGCCGGCTCCACCGCCTCCAGGTCCTCCTCCACCAGCTCCTCCTCTGCCTCCATAACCTCGATCTCCTCTGTCTCCTCCACCACCTCCATCTCCACCTGCTGCACTTGCCCATCCTGCCCCTCTTTTGCCATCTGCCACACTTTGGCCATCTCCCCCTCTTCATCCATACTCGACTCTTCCTCCATAGCCCACTCGTCGGCCGTCTGCCATTCTTCCTCTGTATCACACTCTTCATCCGTATCCCACTCCTCCTCTGTATCCCAATCTTCATCTGTATCCCACTCTTCCATGATTGGGTCCTTGGCGGCGGTGGTGGCGTTGAAGATGGCAGAATCCTTCAGGATGTCACAGAGACGCTCACCTCGTCGTCGATTCGCTCTCCAAATGCTTCTGCTGCTGCCTCGTTCGCATTCCTCTCGACTGTGAGCGGAAGCGTGACTCTGACGTACCAGATGTGACGTCACTACCACGAGGCTCCGCCCCCACGCGCCCGGCTGGTGTATGACGCGTTTGAGTGCTGGTGGTGCACGTGACGCACGTGACCGGAAACAGCGGGGGCCTGGATTCTGCCTCCAGACGCCGTGGTTTACACAGCGTGGGTGAGAGATCGATTGTGTGGGTGGGTGAGTGAGTGTGAGTGAGTGAGGGTGAGTGGGTAAGAGATTGAGTGGGTGAGTGAGTGGGTGAATGAGTTGTGTGGGTGTGAGGGTGAGTGGGTAATAAATTGATTTGGTGGATGAGTGGGTAAGAGATTGAGTGGGTGAGAGATTGAGTGGGTGAGTAAGTGGGTAAGAGATTGAGTGGGTGAGTGAGGGTGAGTGGGTAAGAGATTGAGTGGGTAGGTGAGTGTGTGGGTGTGAGGGTGAGTGGGTAAGAGATTGAGTGGGTGAGTGAGGGTGAGTGGGTAAGAGATTGAGTGGGTGAGTGAGTGTGTGGGCGTGAGGGTGAGTGGGTAAGAGATTGAGTGGATGAGAGATTGAGTGGGTGAGAGATTGAGTGGGTAAGAGATTGAGTGGGTGTTTGTGAGTGAGTGGGTAAGAGATTGAGTGGGTGAGTGAGTGTGAGTGAGTGAGGGTGAGTGGGTAAGAGATTGAGTGAGTGTGAGTGAGTGAGGGTGAGTGGGTAAGAGAGTGAGTGAGTGTGAGTGAGTGAGGTGAGTAGGTAAGAGATTGAGTGGGTGAGTGAGTGAGGGTGAGTGGGTAAAAGATTGAGTGGGTGAGTGTGAGTAAGTGGGTAAGAGATTGAGTGGGTGAGTGAGTGTGTGGGTGTGAGGGTGAGTGGGTAAGAGATTGAGTGGGTGGGTGGGTGAGTGAGTGAGGGTGATTGGGTGAGTGAGTGAGGGTGATTGGGTGAGTGAGTGAGTGTGTGAGGGTGAGTGGGTAAGAGCTTGAGTGGGTAAGAGATTGAGTGGGTAAGAGATTGAGTGGGTGAGAGATTGAGTGGGTGAGAGATTGAGTGGGTGAGAGATTGAGTGGGTGAGTGAGGGTGAGTGGGGAAGAGATTGAGTGGGTGGGTGAGTGTGAGGGTGAGTGGGTAATTGATTTGGTGGATGAGTGGGTAAGAGATTGAGTGGGTGGGTGAGTGAGTGAGGGTGAGTGGGTGAGAGATTGAGTGGGTAAGAGATTGAGTGAGTGAAAGATTGAGTGGGTGATAGATTGATTGGGTGGGTAAGTGGGTAAGAGATTGAGTGGGTGAGTGGGTAAGAGATTGAATGGGTGAGTGAGTGTGTGGGTTTGAGGGTGAGTGGGTAAGAGATTGAGTGGGTGAGTGTGAGTGAGTGGGTGAGTGTGAGTGAGTGGGTAAGAGATTGTGGGTGAGTGTGTGGGTTTGAGGGTGAGTGGGTAAGAGATTGAGTGGGTGGGTGGGTGAGTGAGTGAGGGTGAGTGTGTGAGGGTGAGTGGGTGAGTGAGTGTGTGAGGGTGAGTGGGTGAGTGAGTGTGTGAGGGTGAGTGGGTGAGTGAGTGTGTGAGGGTGAGTGGGTAAGAGATTGCGTGGGTGGGTGAGTGAGGGTGAGTGGGGAAGAGATTGAGTGGGTGAGTGTGTGGGTGTGAGATCCACGTCAAGCTTGAAGAAGCCTCCAGCCACGCGTTCTGGGACCCAGCTTGTGGTCAGACCGGGATAGTGGAACCGTGTCTAGTTCCGCCGTAGCGTGGTTAGTTGGGTGATCACCATCCGAGAGTTTGTTGTGCTAAGAGTTTCATAAAACGTGTTGCTCCCAAGACGTCTGCGACTCGGACTCCCTACAACTACAAAGACACCGACCAACACAAATATAAACCTACCCACACACCCACCCCATGCACTCCACGCACCCTATGCACTCCACGCACCCCATTTACCGTAACAGCAACATAGCATGAATGGAAAACGGCAGCACAATCCGCAATTGCAAGACATGACACACTGTTGTAAATGTTCTTAATGTGTTTATTTAAGAAAATATTTAAATACAATGCACATCAACGACAGTAGCGTTTCTAATCACATTTATCCTCACTGCTAACGGATGGCCCTGGGATTTGCCGCACGTCTGGCTTGGTCTGCGTCTCCACCACCACCAGGCCCTCCCTCCAACTCCCACAGCCCCGGGGCAGCCTGCCCCTTCCATGTCCTGGACACCGTGGCCAGGTCATCGTCTGAGGACCGCCTAGATGAAAACCAGCATGGAAGGGTCCGGGATGGGGCTGGCTACGGTTCTGGGCTAGTCCAATGTGTATGTTAGGCGTGCGTGTGGGGTGAGTGTGTGGGGGTATGCGTGTAGGTGTGCAGGGTATGTGCGGGGTTCGTTCGCGTGGGCGGGCGGGGTGCTCGTGTTTGTGTGCGGAGTGGCGTGTGTGGTGCATGGCGCTTGTCTGTGTGTGTGGGGGCACGTGTGTGTATGGGATGTGTGGAACAGTAGCGCAACGTTTAGCGTGCTGTGCTGCGAACCCGGCGACCCGAGTTCGATTCCCACTCACGGCCAACAACAGTGCCGATTATCCGAACCGGTGCTGGGCCTCTGCTAGGTCAACTTGGCCTCAAATGAGTAGCCAGTGCGGTCTGTAAACATCGTCACTTGGGAGGCAAAGGCGGCCGGCCATGGTATTGGCCACCCACCCCTCCAGCGCCGTGACGGCCTTCATAGCTGCTTGCTAACAGCACTTGCCCAACAGTCTTGGTAAGGCGAAACGGGGGATCTTTGTAGGGTGTATATTTGTGTGTGTGTGGGGGTGGGTGGTGTGTGGGGTGTGGGGGTGGGTGGTGTGTGGGGGGTGGGGGGTGTGTGGGGTGTGTGGGGGGCAATGTTAAATGTGAGCAGGTCTCGTAGTCGTGGTTGTTCCTCCAGTCCTGCCCAGCCAACATCAGTTGTCCAGCCTCCTGCCAGTCCAGCCGTGGTCCCCCAACTCCCCCCACCCCACCCTAATCTTCTGGAGCCGCCGTTCCACAGAGGAGCACGCGGTGGAGGAACGCACGGAGCGACTTCCTCCACTTGCTCTTCCCCTTCTTCTTCAGTGCCGGCTTCACCGCCTCCAGCTCCTCCTCTGCCTCCATAACCTCGATCTCCTCTGTCTCCTCCACCACCTCCATCTCCACCTGCTGCACTTGCCCATCCTGCCCCTCTTTTGCCATCTCCCCCTCTTCATCCATACTCGACTCTTCCTCCATATCCCACTCGTCGGCCGTCTGCCATTCTTCCTCTGTATCACACTCTTCATCCGTATCCCACTCTTCCTCTGTATCCCAATCTTCATCTGTATCCCACTTTTCCATGATTGGGTCCTTGGCGGCAGTGGTGGTGGTGGCGTTGAAGATGGCAGAATCCTTCAGGATGTCACAACAGAGACGCTCACCTCGTCGTCGATTCGCTCTCCAAATGCTTCTGCTGCTGCCTCGTTCGCATTTATATAGACTGTGAGCGGAAGCGTGGCTCTGACGTACCAGATGTGACGTCACTACCACGAGGCTCCGCCCCCACGCGCCCGGCTGGTGTATGACGTGGTTGAGTGCTGGTGGTGCACGTGACGCACGTGACCGGAAACAGCGGGGGCCTGGATTCTGCCTCCAGACGCCGTGGTCTACACAGCGCGGGTGAGAGATCGATTGAGTGGGTGAGTGAGTGTGAGTGAGTGAGGGTGAGTGGGTAAGAGATTGAGTGGGTGAGTGAGTGGGTGAGTGAGTGTGTGGATGTGAGGGTGTGAGGGTGAGTGGGTAAGAGATTGAGTGGGTGAGTGAGTGTGAGGGTGAGTGGGTAAGAGATTGAGTGGGTGGGTGGGTGAGTGAGGGTGAGTGGGTGAGAGATTGAGTGGGTAAGAGATTGAGTGGAATGAGAGATTGAGTGGGTGAGTGGGTAAGAGATTGAGTGGGTGGGTGAGGGTGAGTGGTTAAGAGATTGAGTGGGTGAGTGAGTGTCTGGGTGTGAGGGTGAGTGGGTAAGAGATTGAGTTGGTGGGTGGGTGAGTGCGTGTGAGGGTGAGTGGGTAATAAATTGATTTGGTGGATGAGTGGGTAAGTGATTGAGTGGGGAGGTGGGTGGGTGAGTGAGTGAGGGTGAGTGGGTGAGATATTGAGTGGGTGAGTGAGGGTGAGTGGGTAAGAGATTGAGTGGGTTAGAGATTGAGTGGTTGAGAGATTGAGCGGGTGAGAGATTGAGTGGGTGAGAGATTGAGTGGGTGGGTGAGTGGGTAAGAGATTGAGTGGGTGGGTGAGTGGAGTTGGTACGTTTTCTTCCTGGCCTACACAGCGTGGGCGAGTGTGGAGTTCTGTTCTCAAGAGAAAGTGTGGCGTCTATGTGTGCGTGTTGTGTAGCTGTGTGTACGCAGTGTTTCTAGTCTCCAATTATTCCACATTATGCTGCAGAAATTTAACATTTGCGCCCTCGCTCTGTGCTGTCTTTGATGTCGCCGTTCCTGCGGCGAGGACTGAAGAGAGGCCTTTAGGCCTGGCATACGCCTAGGCCTCAGGCTTCATATTGGATAATCGTTATTTTTGTATAATTGGAATGATTAATTAACTTGTATTTCATAAATTACATTTAAAACGTATAAACACAATCTAATTGGTTTATGGTGGTGGTGGTAGTAGTGTGATTGTGAGTTACTGTGCGTGTAGTTTATTGTGTCATGGATTGGTCTATGTGCACCTAGCCTGGCATGGGTATTATGTGTTTTTTATTACACACAAATATACAAAGATATTGTACATTTGTGCGTGTCTATTATGTGTGTCTGTGTCAGTTTTCGAATCTATGTCCGTAGCTGTGTGTGTGTTTATCTATGATGGGTGGTGATGATGATGGGTGGTGGTGTTGATAGGTGGTGGTGATGATAATTTATGATGGGTGGTGATGATGATGGGTGGTAGTGATTATGATGGGTGGTAGTGATTATGATGGGTGGTAGTGATGATGGATGGTGGTGATGATGATAATGGGTAGTAGTGATGATGGGTGGTAGTGATGATGATGGGTGGTGATGATGGATGGTGGTGATGATAATGGGTGTCCATGATGATGATGGGTGGTGATGATAGGTGGTGGTGATGGGTGGTGGTGATGATGATGGGTGGTGGTGATGATGATGGGTGGTGATGATGATGATGGGTGGTGGTGATGATGATTTATAATGGGTGGTGGTGATGATGGGTGGTGGTGATGATGATGGGTGGTGATGATGATGGGTGGTAGTGATTATGATGGGTGGTAGTGATTATGATGGGTGGTAGTGATTATGATGGGTGGTAGTGATTATGATGGGTGGTAGTGATGATGGATGGTGGTGATGATGATAATGGGTAGTAGTGATGATGGGTGGTAGTGGTGATGATGGGTGGTGATGATGGATGGTGGTGATGATAATGGGTGTCCATGATGATGATGGGTGGTGATGATAGGTGGTGGTGATGGGTGGTGGTGATGATGATGGGTGGTGGTGATGATGATGGGTGGTGATGATGATGATGGGTGGTGGTGATGATGATTTATAATGGGTGGTGGTGATGATGGGTGGTGGTGATGATGATGGGTGGTGATGATGATGGGTGGTAGTGATTATGATGGGTGGTAGTGATGATGATGGGTGGTGGTGGTGGTGATGATGGGTGGTGGTGATTATGATGATGTTTATGGGTGGTGGTGATGATGATGATGGGTGGTGATGATGATGGGTGGTAGTGATTATGATGGGTGGTAGTGATTATGATGGGTGGTAGTGATGATGATGGGTGGTGGTGGTGATGATGGGTGGTGGTGATTATGATGTTAATGGGTGGTGATGATGATGGGTGGTAGTGATTATGATGGGTGGTAGTGGTGATGGTGATTGATGGTGGTGATGATGGGTGGTGATGATGATGGTGGGTGGTGATGATGGGTGGTGGTGATGATGATGATGATGGGTGGTGATGATGATGGGTGGTGACGATGATGGGTGGTGATGTTGATGGGTGGTGGTGATGATGATGGGTGGTGGTGATGATGGGTGGTAGTAATGATGATGGGTGGTGGTGATGGTGGGTGGTGATAGTGATAATGGCTGATGATGGTGATAATGATGGCTGGTGGTGATGATGATTTATGATGGGTGATGGTGATGACGATGGGTGGTGGTGATGATGGGGGGTGGTGGTGATGATGATGGGTGGTGGTGATGATGATGGGTGGCAGTGATGATGATGGGTAGTAGTGATGATGGGTGTTTAGTGATGATGGGTGGTGATGATGGATGGTGGTGATGATGATAATGGGTAGTAGTGATGATGGGTGGTAGTGATGATGATGGGTGGTGATGATGGATGGTGGTGATGATGATAATGGGTGTCCATGATGATGATGGGTGGTGATGATAGTTGGTGGTGATGGGTGGTGGTGATGATTTATGATGGGTGGTGGTGATGATGATGATGATGGGTGGTGGTGATGATGTTGGGTGGTGGTGATGATGATGGGTGGTGGTGATGATGATGATGGGGATGGGTGGTGGTGGTGATGATGATGATGGGTGGTGGTGATGACGATGGGTGGTGGTGATGATGGGGGGTGGTGGTTATGATGATGGTTGGTGGTGGTGAAGATGATGGGTGGTGGTGATGATGATGAAGGGTGGTGGTGATGATGATGGGTGGTAGTGATGATGATGGGTGGTAGTAATGGTGATGGGTGGTGATGATGATGGGTGGTGGTGATGATGGGTGGTAGTGATGATGATGGATAGTAGTGATGATGGGTGGTAGTAATGATGATGGGTGGTGATGATGGATGGTGGTGATGATAATGGGTGGCGATGATGATGGGTGGTGATGATAGGTGGTGGTGATGGGTGGTGGTGATGATGATGGGTGGTGGTGATGCTGATGATGGGTGGTGGTGATGATGATGGGTAGTAGTGATGATGGGTGGTAATGATTATGATGGGTGGTGATGATGGATGGTGGTGATGATGATAATGGGTAGTAGTGATGATGGGTGGTAGTGATGATGATGGGTGGTGATGATGGATGGTGATGATGATAATGGGTGGCGATGATGATGATGGGTGGTGATGATAGGTGGTGGTGATGATGATGGGTGGTGGTGATGATGATTTATGATGGGTGGTGGTGATGATGGGTGGTGGTGATGATGATGAGAGGTGTTGGTGGTTATTGGTGGCAATGTTGATGGGTGGTGTTGAGTGGTGGTGGTGGTGATGATGATGATAAGTTGTGGGGATTATGGGTGGTTGTTTGCTATGATGATGATGGGTGGTGGTTATTATCATGGGTGATGATGATGATGGTTGTTGGTGATCATGGATGGGTGATGATTTTGATTATGGTTATTGGTGGTGGTGATGATGGATGGTGATGATTTGTGGTAATGATGGGTGGTGGTTATGATTGCTGATGATAACTAGTGATGATGGTTGGTTGATGAAAGGTGGCGGTGATGTCCCTTGCGTTGGACATTGACATGCAATACCCTGGCTGTCCAGCAGAATGCAGTCCAGCAAAGTATTGCTTCATAATAAAGGTTTTTGGGTTAGATCGCGTTTATTTATAAATGTGTCGTAACCCTCCACCACCCGACACGGCCAATCAGCAAAAAAAAAGTGTCACGTTGACAAAAGACAAATAATTCACTACTTCAGCCCACCGGTGTGTTGAAGAGTTAATCCACATTTACAGTTTGAGTACGACGTTTCGCTGGTAAATACATCTAGCATCATCGGGCAATTCGCCAGAATGGTAAAGCCCTCGCTTGCTCCCGGTTTTATATAGAGCAGCAGGGTGATGTCATCACTTAACTCATATCAGGTGCAGTGATTAGAGGCGGAGGGGGGGGGGTATTGTAATTATATAATCGATTAGTAATCAGTCATTGGTTATGATTAGTAATGAGTTGTAGATTAGTAATTCTTTAAATCAAAATGTAATGTGTATTATTTAATAATACGCTTCCAGGCCGCACTAAGCCGGTAGCTGTCAGAGCGATTAAAGTTATTCTTGTTCCTCTCAATTTCAATGGATTCTCTAATTAGTCTTTGCCAGTAATAATTAGTTTTACACACCACTGCAACATTGTCAAAATCAATTGAGTGTCCTTGTTGACAAGCATGTTCTGCCACTGCCGACAGTTGTGTTTGAGATAATTTAATATTTCTCTGATGTTCTTTTAGTCTTACGCTGATGTTACGTCCCGTCTGCCCAATGTAGCAGCTGCCACATGAACAATTAATCCGATATACACCTTCTGTTGATAGTTTAGGTAATGCATCTTTAGTGCAAGATACTAGTTTTTGAATTTTGTGTACTGTACCAAATCTTACTGTAATGTTTTGCTTTTGCAAAACACGGGCTAATTTGTCAGTTACTCCTGAGATATATGGAATTTTTATTGTTTTAACAATCTGGTCGCTTTCAGCAGTATTGCTTTGCGATCGTGATTTGGCATTCAGTGCTCTGTTAATTTGAGCATTATTGTAGCCATTCTGTCGTAGTGCGTCTTTAACGTGTTTAATCTCTCTCACTAGACTCTCACCATCTGACACTGTTTTGGCCCGATGTATGAGCGTCTTGATAAGAGAGGATTTCTGAGCTGGATGATGATGTGATTC